GAAACAGGATATCCTCGCGGCTATTTCGTCCTCATCGGTAGAGCTTGATAGAAATATCGATGTTTTATTTTTCTTTAATATTATATATTTAATTTTACTAATATTATAAATGTGAAAGTTTAGATGGATGTTTGTTACTCAATCAGCCAGAACGGCTGAACGGATCTGGATGAAATTTGGCACAGAGAGAGATTATAGTCTGGATTAGCACATAGGCATTTTTATCCCGGAAAAATTTACGGTTCCCGTAGGATATATTTGTTTTTGTTGAGGGTGTCCAGCTATTATCTATATAAATATAACTAAAATGCTGTTAAAAATGAAAAAAAAAACATATCGACTTTTTTAATCATCGTAATAGTCTGAATAAGGTTTTTAGGGAAATAATGAAAAAGATGCTGATTTTTAGGCGGGAAAATGTTTTATTTTCCTATAGTTTTGTATGAATAGTGTTAAATCTAAAAATTGCCTGGAAATTTCATCGCAATCGCTCCAGCCGTTTTAATTAGTCATAGGAAACACATACATACACACATCGATTTATATATATATATATATATATATATATATATATATATATTTCGTGTTATCCATATACTACGAACATCATCTTTAGTGGTTACTCATCTTGTGGGCGTTATCAGGGCTCAAATAATAAAGTACTCAGTGCTCAATACACAATTTAATCAGGGAAGTCACAATGTTATAAACTTGAAACGGTAATTCTAATGATTTAGAGCTAGCGGGTTCACAGTCACCGATCATCGACTTCCAACTACAATATCAAAGCAAAACTGTATGCTACACCATGATCAACCGTCTTTACTAAACCACGTATCTGCAAAGAATGTCGTGATGGCGTCTCGACCCCGCTCGAGACTAAATCTCTGCTCTATTTTCAAAATCTATTTAGAAACAATAAAAAGTAAATTAAAGAACATAGTGACTTTAAACAATAATAAGGTTTCATAACAGAAAAAGGTAACTAAATCCTCCTCCGTCGCCGTCCTGCTGTTCACACGCCCTCGGGTGATCTTATGGGGCACTCACCACCGCTATTTCTTCTACCACGGCCGTCCTGCTGTTCACGCGCCCTCGTGTGATATTGAAAATCGATCTATAGAAAAAGTAACATTAGCTCGGCTATTCCTGACCAAATAACTGACCATGGTGGCCAAACTTACTAAAACTAGCCATCGGTGCAGTAGATATTTAGTGCAAAAGTGTACGCACAGACAGGCATAGACAGACACAGACAAATTCCAATGTGCCTAACACAGTGAGTATTGGGCAAATTTTTGCTTTATATGTTAACAATAAAGAGCGATTCAAATCATATTCATTCTCCCTAACTAGTTTTCTTTGAGACAAATTTCTCAAAACTTAATTTTTAAACTGACTGAAACTCTAAAGACTATACACATAACTTATTTATCATTGAGTACAAGTTACAGAAGAAAGTGTCTCATATGTTAATCAAGTTAAGTCGGTGCCACACAAATCAAACGATGCGACAGAACCCTTCCAATGCCACACAGACAACTCTCGCCATTCAGGCTACATGTGCCACATAGGTTACTTTTGCCACACAGGCAACTCTCGCCACTCAGGCTACATTTGCTACAAAGACTCGTCAACGCCAAATAGGTACCCCATTGTCTAAATACCACCTTCCACCATCGTCGCACAGCAATATCAGAATCATACAGCCTCATCGTGCTACTTCGGCTTGTCAATGTTACATAACTTCGTCAATTCAGTCACCCTAGCTTGTCCTACGTAGGTTCATTAATGTTAAGCTGCTAGATATTATTGGAAATAACTACAATCACAACCGTCTTTAATGGTACATTCGGAAATCACTTGCCTCACACACCTAAACAAAATGGAAACGTCTCACCATATAATATTCTGAATATTAGATTAAATGAAAGAGTCCACAGATATCCATTTTTGCACAGCCCAAGCATCTCTGGATACCGCCTTCTTCTAGGGCATCGTATACGTCTGATGTGATCTGGTTTAGCGTAAACTAAACTGACTAAAGCAAGGCGTCCTCTTTACGCTACATACATATTTTGAACCCTTGAAATGAAGAACCTGAAAATTCATATTATTTAAATTGTGCCACAGTTGTTATTACCATCGGCCCGATCTAATTATGCTTAATCTTTGGACCAAATAAGGACATGTGAAATCGGTATTATAATCAAAGATTTCTATCTTAGCCTGCGTATGAGAATGTCTTCGGAGTGTACACAAACATTAGTTTTTCGCTGTATCACCATTAATACAGTTGACTATTTCTCATAGTTCACTTAATGAACTGCAAAAAAAAAATTTTGTTAGATAAAAACATCACTTTTATACCACCTCGATTATAGTATAATCAGAGATCATGTTATTTTCCCAATTTATTTTGCAAATATCATCTTTAAATGTTCCGACGGGAAATAGTAAGCCTTTTAGTTAAATTTTATTTTATCAAAAATATCAACTCAATATTTTCACTTTAAAAATCCTGAAATAAAGCAAATATAAAGCAAATAATTACAATACAAAACATTTTTGACATTCTAAAATTCTTTTCATCAATCGTAATTAAAAAGGAGATCCTTATAAATTTCATCGAACAAAAACATTTCAAAAATAATTCTCGTAATTTATCGATTAAATATATTAACTTCATATATCATCCTGAAATAAACAAAATTTCCATATAATTTTTCCATACATATTGTGATCAAAAATATTTCTGCGATAATATCAAGAAAATCAAATCGAAGCTAGCAACAAATCTTTGTCGACGTCATGTCATTTCATAAAAATTAAATTGAGACATCTATGATTATTTTAATCTTTAGAGCATCTTGCATACGAGTATATCATATCATCATGATTCATGATTATCAAAAAGTAAATCTTCTGTAAAACAACCCGCATATGCATCGCCATTTTGTGCGTCCGTTTTAAATAACATTTGACATCGCATTTCGTTTTAAAGTCTGAAAAAAGTTTTTCAAATGGCCGCTGTCATTTATCTTTGCCCTGTTCTTCGGGTATCATACCACTTCTGATGTCGTGTTATCCATATACTACGAACATCATCTTTGGTGGTTACTCATCTTGTGGGCGTTATCAGGGCTCAAATAATAAAGTATTCAGTGCTCAATACACAATTTAATCAGGGAAGTCACAATGTTATAAACTTGAAACGGTAATTCTAATGATTTAGAGCTAGCGGGTTCACAGTCACCGATCATCGACTTCCAACTACAATATCAAAGCAAAACTGTATGCTACACCATGATCAACCGTCTTTACTAAACCACGTATCTGCAAAGAATGTCGTGATGGCGTCTCGACCCCGCTCGAGACTAAATCTCTGCTCTATTTTCAAAATCTATTTAGAAACAATAAAAAGTAAATTAAAGAACATAGTGACTTTAAACAATAATAAGGTTTCATAACAGAAAAAGGTAACTAAATCCTCCTCCGTCTTATATAATATATAGATATGAGTTACGATATTCAATGAAATGCATTTTAGAAATCGCTTTTTTCTATTCGTACATAATTATTTATTTAATTAATCATTTAAAATTTTAATTGGTACTTAACAAGCATCTTACTTTTGATTTACTTTTCTTCTATTTTGGTCGAAAATATTGAAATGAAGCTTAGCTTTTAATTCTATGTCAGTATAATTTACGAAAGACGTGAAGTCCGCCAACCCGCACTGGGCCAGCGAGGTGGACTATAGCCTGATGCCCCTCGTATTGAAGGGACGCCCGAGCCCAGCAGTGGGACGTTAAAAAGGGCTGGATACAATACAAATAATTAAGGAATATTCCCAGTATCTCAAGTTATTTGACCTTAAATAGACTAACCAAAAAATCTACTGTAGCTTCAAGCTTGTATCTTTTTTAGATAATTTAGATATTGACTCCAAAAATACCTTTTTCTTTATGTAAATAAAATAACGAATAGGATCAAAAATTAACATTTTCAACTGCGATTAGTCTCTAGAATATTTTAATTTAGGATTACAATTTGTTTATAATATAAAAATATATTTCGTCCTGTCCGTCTGGTCGTATAAAACCAAGACTATCGACACTGTTGCAAAAATTTAGTTGACATAAATCCCAGGTGGACCGCTAGACAATTTTTTTTATGTAGGGCTTTAAAATTAAGATTTTTAAGGTTTAAAGGTTCTTAAGTAATTTTCTTGTTCAATCCAATAGTTGCTGAGTCATCAAACTCCTTATAGTAAATATTTTGTTAGATAGTGTGTCACAAATCTATTTAATGGGTTTAGCTATCGAGTATCTAACTGACCTCATAATATATCAATAACTAATATCTCATTATATAACTATAAGTAATTTCGTTCGGGTGCGTCTATACCTACTCCATCCAAACCCATCCAGACATTTTAGCATGAAGGCGTAACAAACATACGTACGTACAAACTTCCACATTTATAACAATATATAATAAATAATAATAAGCTGGAATTTTCAAAATAAATAATATATCGATATTTCAGCTTATACATACATCACTAATGTTAAACACAAACGAGACTAAGGTAGATGGAAGACTGATCATGTCTACTCCTCCATTATTACAGTTTTATCTTTTTGTCTGTCGGTTCCATTAGGGTTATAGATACTTTATAATAAAAATTAAAATATAATTATGAAGAATATTATCTGCTTTTTACAATCACTTATGAATAAAACCTCTTTAGCATCGAACTTTAAATTTAAAATCGAGCTTTTAAAGCTCTTAAAAATGATGTTAAAATGAGATATAATAAAAAATATTTATATAGAAACTTTTATACAGTCACTACATAATTTTATTAAAGTTATATAGTATGACTATAATTTAATTAAAAACTTAACTGCCTCGGTGGTGTAGTGGCTAGCATGTACGCCTGTACATCTCGGTTCGAGTCCTGGGTTGGGCCAAGTAATAGTTATTGATGTTTAGTAACCGTAACAGCCCCAAGTTGAGAAGTTGGAGATGTTCCATCCGCGTTCCTCGGAGAGCACGTAAAGCCGTTGGTCCTGCGCCTTAATTATCACCGGTCGTGTGGAGTGGTCGTCCCACCGGAGTATGAGAGTGACAGAAATACAGAGTGCACGTTGTGTCTGCGCGTACACTTGTCCACTATAATATCTCCTGCGCAGTTGGCTAGTCTCAATGAGATTGGCCGCCGTGGCCGGAATCGGTTGGGAAGACATTATTACTATAATTTTATTGCGAAAGCAATATTGATTCTATAGAAATATATATGAGAATTATAATAATAAATAGAATATTTGTTAAAAACAGACTAATGTTTCTTAAGTTACAAGTATATATATATATATATATATATATATATATATATATATATATATATATATATATATATATATAGGATGACAACTTCATAATGGCGGGTCACATACTGAAAATATCTTTCAAATGAAATCTGTTAGAATTTCTATATAAATTGTTTTTAAAATGTCCATTTTATAACAAGATGTAAGATGTAGACAAGTAGTCGAGTGAAGTACCAAGTTGTCCCGAAGGCACGTACGTTATGTTTTCAATTCTATGCAGACTTGCTGCTTTATGCATTTATGTCGCGGGTTTTAAGGATAGGTTTACACATTTTTTTCTTTATTTGAAAATAAAAAAAATTATAATATTTTATATCTGGTTGATTTGTAGGCAGTGGTAGCCCAGTGCCAACGCGCTTATCTTAACAGTGAAGGAAAACATCGTGAGGAAACCTGCATATCTGAGAGAACCGAGCAAGTTTTCAAAATACCCGCCAACCCGCACTTAGCCAGCGTGGTAGACTATGGCCTGATCCACTGAAGGGAGGCCAGTTCCCAGCAGCGGGACGTTAAAAAGGGCTGAATACAAAAAATGTGCCGTGGGACACCCGACAGAAACGAATCTTAGTATATGTGGATGTTTGTTACAACTTAATCTCCAAACGGATAGACAGATTTGGATAAAATTTAGTACATAGATAAACTATGACCTAGGCTTTAGAGTAAAACCTATACCTATGCATTTAAGGACTTATCTGAGAAAAGCAAGATTACTAGTCAGGTACTATTATAATTGCGAAGGTTTGTATTTGGGTATGTTTGTTTATACTTCTAAAACGGTTACAGTCTTGGAGAAGCACATAGGCGACTGTTGGTTATCTAGACTCATCCGAGCGTAAATCTGTTGTTACGTATATAACTCGTATTTAGACCACACTGTGTAGAAACACCTCTATTCGATAACACAACAATATTCTTTCATACATTGAATTTGTTTGGGAAATTCTTGTAACGGTAGGAGTAACTTGTTCAATACAACTTTTGTTTCAGCCACAATAACTTCATTTTTCTATTCAAAATTCAATACGTTAGTCTTGAATATTCTAAAAATCATTTGTGAAACTATTACAAAAGAAATATTCTGTAAAGTGTCATTATGTCACATCCATATAACGTAATTTATAGTGGTTTTTAATAATATTGACATAATTTAACATAAAATAAATAATACAATAAATATTCTACCATATCTTTATATATATAATTCTTCTGTGAGTGTGTATGTCACTGAACTTCTCTCAAACGACTGGACCGATTTTGATGAAATTTTTTGTGTGTGTTCAAGGGGATCTGGGAATGGTTTAGATTCACAATTTGAATAATAATTTTCATCAAAAAAATTATTAAAAAAAGTTTGAAATTTTCAAATTAAAGACGTGTAGACAGGACAACGTCTGTCGGGTCCGCTAGTAACATGATAAATCATCAACGTAAAAATGCATTAAACCACATCATTAAAATTATTTCAATATTAGCAAAATATTTAACATAAAATGTATATAGTACTATTTAAATTTTAACATAAAGCTAATAAAGAATGTTACAAAATATGTTACTTCTTTTAATTTTTAACGTGTTTAATTTTGCGTTTTAGTGCTTTTTATTTTTTAATTGGGTCACTTTCACACTGACAACTACTAATATGAGTTAGTAATACTTGGAGATATTTCTTTTTTTTTTCATTGATAGAGAAATGCGCTTAGGGCTGACATCTTTAACATTTTTTTTATGATTTCATCTTAAAAATCTGCACACAATATTATATAATTTATCTATTAGCCAGACTGAACTGACTAGCATATTATTTTGATTATATATATTTTTCGAATCTCTCCATTTTCATAGATTGAGATAAGTAAGTATGAATACTAATATTCAAAAAAGGTATTTATAAATAAAAACTTTTTAACAAAAAAATAAAAACCGACTTCAAACAAAAGCACTAAAAAGTAAAAAATAACTGATTGGTAGTTTTCATTTACTATACATACCTAATCAAATATTTTCGAAGTCGGTGTGCTTTGCTTTGTATGGGCTGGCACCGATTTCGAAAATATTTTAATAGGTAGGCTTTAATTACTTAGCCAACGCACACCGACTCCCGTGACCATGAGTGCTGTAAAGCAATCGAAACGTCGGGAACCAAAAATCAAAATAAATCCGCGAAATAATCCGAAAAGAATATTCAAAATTTTCTATTATTTTTTTGAAAAAGTTTTTATGATTCGATAAAAGTTAATTTTTCTACTTCTTTTAGACAATCCGAAAAATTATTCCATACATTCCATACATAAGCAAAAAAAAATACCATTATTTTAATTTTGATATCGTAAAATCAAACACGTGAGCTTAATATAGTATATAGCTTAATACTTTCTTAGATTTACGCGAATATTTGACATTTCAAATAAAACTATCTTTTCGGATTTTGTCGCGGATTTATTTGTATTTTGGTTTCCCGACGTTTCGAATGCTTTACAGCATCCATGGTCACGGGAGAGACTGAGGTGTTACATGTCTTAAAGATATAGTTGTTACAGACAGCCTACCCACAATTAACAAAATTGTAATGTAATTGGTGCAATTCATCATCGATCAATCATCATCAATCATTCAATCATTCAATCATCAATCATTTTGTTAATTGTGGGTAGGCTGTCTGTAACAACTATATCTTTAAGACATGTAACACCCCAGTCTCTCCCGTGACCATGGATGCTGTAAAGCATTCGAAACGTCGGGAAACCAAAATACAAATAAATCCGCGACAAAATCCGAAAAGATAGTTTTATTTGAAATAGTATATAGCTTTTTTTTAAAGAATAGATGTATTAGAACATACGAGTAATTATAAAATTCTATGAAACTCAAAATCAATTTATACTGAGCGATTCTGAGCGAAACATCGTTAACGTGAACTATCGACGGATGCTTTCAGCCGCTAATGACGTGCAGGGCTGCCACTGATTGATTACTTAACAATATGTACACTGAATATACAGAGTGTATTTAAATATATAAAAAAACTTGCAAAGTAAACTAATTTTTGTAGTATAGAATATATCACTATGTATAATAAATCTATGTAAGGAATATATATTATATTTCATCATTCATTATATATTTCATCTTGTACTCTACTTTTTGAAGAAATAAAAACATTGTACGGTCGTCCTGTAAAAACAGCCTTAAAATGAAAAAAAACTGGAGAAATCAATAAGTTTTACTTGTAAACTACATTTTTTTTAATCATTGAAAAAGTGAGTCTTATATACCTGCTAAAGTTTTAAAGCCATAAAACTTAAGATCTTGCTTTTTAAGTCATTGTTTTTAAAAATATTTCATGTACAGATTTTGCTAAGTACTGTTTTATTATATGTATATTTCAGCCTATGCCCCCCCCCCCCCCTTACCATAATGTTTATTTCAATAAGATTTTCCAAAAAATATTTAATGTACAGATTCGGCTTAGTTACAATTTTATTAAATGTATAGATATGGACATACATGGCACACCCCTGACATCAGTTAGCTTCGTTTACGCAACGACAGTTTGGGAAACACTCAGATGCTCGCTCCTAGCCTTGTTATAAAACTCTTTGACAACCACTCCACACTACATGTACCCTAAATTACAAGTAATAAAGACTAAATTGCAATAATAACATTTATAGAACATTGTTATAAATAATGTAATATTAAAAAAACCATTGGCATGTATGTTATTATGTAAATTTTGTTTACTTCGGCTTAGAGGCTTCAATTTTAAAATTATTTATTATCCATATTTTGTATCTTTTCTTACATACGTAATCTTTTGATATTCTGAAGGTAAAAGTAGACTTTATACTTTATATATTTACTAGCATTGCCCGCGGCTCTACCCGCGTTCAGATGACCAAAAACCAAAATCTTAGGTTTTACATATTAGCATACATTGCAGTTATTGTATTTTTCCTCAGAAATGAGACATTTTCCCGCGGTAAAAAGTATCCTAAATGTTGACCCGGATAACCAGCTATCACCATACAAAATTTCATCAAAATCCCTCTAGTCGTTTTTCTGTGATGCGGTAACAGACAGACAGACAGACAGACGGACGGACGGACGGACGGACGGACGGACGGACGGACGGACGGACGGACGGACGGACGGACGGACGGACGGACGGACGGACGGACGGACGGACGGACGGACGGACGGACGGACGGACGGACGGACGGACGGACGGACGGACGGACGGACGGACGGACGGACAAACGGACGGACGGACGGACGGACGAACGGACGAACGGACGGACGGACGGACGGACGGACAGACAGACAGACAAAAATTCTAAAAACTATAGATTGGGCCTCTGTATTGATCAGAATGTTTATTTCAATAAGATTTTCCAAAAAATATTTAATGTACAGATTCGGCTTAGTTACAATTTCATTATATGTATGGATATTAATAGATATTGATTGACGACGAATCCAAATAATCTATGTCTGTTTTCTCTGTAGTTTTCGTTCCTTTCCGAATTTAACATAATTGGTTCAATTACTTTAAGATGTCGCGCGGAAAGCCTTCTTAATCTGCAGAATTTAAAATATACGCAGATCGAGATTTATTCAGAAATTTCCCGTGATCGGCAAAAAAAAATTTTTTTCTTCTCTTTCAAGTTTTGGTTTCTATAATACTTTCTTAGATTTACGCGAATACTTGACATTTTAAATAAAACTATCTTTTCGGATTGTTACGCGAATTTATTTTGATTTTTGGTTCCCGACGTTTCGAATGCTTTACAGCATCCATGGTCACGGGAGAGACTGAGGTGTTACATGTTTTGAAGGTATAGTTGTTACAGACA